AAATAATATTTTTTAATAAACCCTTTTTCATTCGACATACTTTATCTTAATCGAGATATTAATAAGGAACCAGCAGATCAAGTAGCTTTTGGAATAAAACACCAATTTTTTTAAAATTAAACACTATCTAAAGATTTGCATCGAAGCGTTTATTTTTGATAGTGATTTTAATCACTGTCAGATATCATTATACTTGATCCAACTATACCACGTCACAACTGTGCCGCGACCCCCCTGTGCTGGGTTTTTTATTATTCAATTAATTTTCATTTTGCAAACATCATTATTATTAAAATTTATTAATTTATAATTAATAATATTATATAATAAATTATAAATAATAATAATAATATTATTAATGTTAATCAAGCTGCATGTATGGATTGTTTACTAATTATCATTTAATAGAGACTAATTTGTTAATATAAAATGCAATAAACCTAAAATTTGAGGGTTAACTATTTTACTTTATATATAAATATATATGAACAATCTATATAAAATATATATTTTTTATCCAGATAATAAATTGTTTATATACAGTATATTATTTTAGGATAATAACATTTGCATTTATAACATTATTATTTGGCCGATCCCAAGTAGTTGGGATTAAAGCGAGGAAAAAGCAGAAGAAGATTATAACATTTTTGAATATTTACCTATAAATTTACTTTTAAATACCATAATTGTTAATGAATGAACGCTGTTATTTAACCAATGAATGAGTATTGAACTGTAATCGAGGTTTTTATAGCTGAAACCGAGGAACGGTCTATGAACGATCACTGAACTTTTTGTAGATCTCAGTTCACCCTATCTTAAAATTCGTACTTAAATCTCATTTTGAATTGTTCTATGAACAGGTTTTGAACTGAGTTCAGCACCGTTGTTACAAATTAAATGAACCCGGTATGAACTGGAATGCTACTCGGGATACAAGTACTGCATTATTAACACGCTTATAATAGTTTGACTAGTATGTGTGATGTGTGTTTGTTGTAACTTTCCACGCGGCACGTGTTATTATTCTCGCGTATCCCGTCGTCTAGACTAGACGTCATAACGCATTCACCCCACCCTGCTCACCAATCGCATGCAACACTAATTCTGTATAATTTTATATTTTTGGTTTTCGTACCCGTACACGCGTGCGTGACATTAATTATACAGAGTGTTCAGTAAGTCAGGAAACGGGTTTCTATTGTTCTCATTATTTGTAACAATTTAACTGTTTCCTAACTTACTGAACACTCTGTATATATTTATATATTCCTACCGCCGCTGCCGCCGTTTATACCTTAGGTATAACGTTCTCCCCGCCCACAAAACAAGGCTATACCTAATGCATGATACGTTGACGTACTTAAGTCGCTTTACATATACAGAGTGTTCAGTAAGTCAGGAAACAGGTTTCTATTGTTCTCATTGTTACANGTGTTCAGTAAGTCAGGAAACGGGTTTCTATTGTTCTCATTGTTACAAACAATGAGAACAATAGAAACCCGTTTCCTGACTTACTGAACACTCTGTATATATATATAAACAAATTTTTATTTTGACTGACCTATATCATCCGCATGTAATGCGTATAAAGAGTGTTCAGTAAATAAGGAAACGAATTTCTATTGTACTCATTGTTTGTAACAATTTAACTGTTTCCTAACTTACTGAACACTCTGTATATATTTATATATTCCTACCGCCGCTGCCGCCGTTTATACCTTAGGTATAACGTTCTCCCCGCCCACAAAACAAGGCTATACCTAATGCATGATACGTTGACGTACTTAAGTCGCTTTACATATACAGGGTGTTCAGTAAGTCAGGAAACAGGTATCTATTGTTATCATTGTTACAAACATTGTTCTCATTGTTTCATTGTTTGTAACAATGAGAACAATAGATACCCGTTTCCTGACTTACTGAACACCCTGTATATTAACACGCTTTATTCTCATTAAGAGATATACAGGGTGTTCAGTAAGTCAGGAAATGGGTTTCTATTGTTCTCATTGTTACAAACATTGTTCTCATTGTTTCATTGTTTGTAACAATGAGAACAATAGAAACCCGTTTCCTGACTTACTGAACAACCTGTAGAGTGTATTCATTCCGATTACAACGTATCATCATTTTTCGTCACTACCGTCACGTTCCGGGAGTGGGTAATTTGCGCGCCTGCTGCTTTCCTTGGATGTGGTAGCCGTTTCTTAGACTCCCTCTCCGGAATCGAACCCTTATTTCCCGTTACCCGTTACAATCATGATATTGATATTAACTACTATCATAACATGAAACTAAAAAGTGAAATATAAATATAGTTTAAAAAAACTAAAAAACACGCTCTTAAAGCACATCGAACTAATAAGCTAAAAATAATTTTTAAAATTAACTTAAAACAAAAATGAACGAAAAATACTAGTATTATTGTGAAAAAAAGCGTGGGTGCATTATGCCATATTTTTTGTATATTGAGCGCCTGACGCTTTTTTTCACAATAATACTAGTATTTTTCGTTCATTTTTGTTTTAAGTTAATTTTAAAAATTATTTTTAACTTTTTAGTTTGATGTGCTTTAAAAGTATGTTTTTTTAATTTTTTAAACTATATTTATTAATAAATTCTCCGTAGAAATTAAATATTAAATTATTGAACATCAATTTCATATTAAATTTAATGGAAAACTTTATAATGTTTACCATGGTAACAACTAATATAGTCTTATATTTGGTAGCCGTATCAATTACTATAAGATTAATTTTTTTTCTTGATTTATGTTTAAAAATATTTAACCAACAAAAATAGTTAATTTAAATAAAAATAATAATTAAATTTTCTATGATGTAAATTTGAATTACAACATCAATTCAGTTTAAAATATATAAGTTGTTTGGTAGAGAACATCTCTAGGAAAGACCTAGTGGACCAGTTATCACAAACACCGTTTATTATATTATATCATGTGACAGCTGATCTCTAGCGTCTTTGCTTTACTCACCTCCTCGCCACACTATCACGGCAAATCGATGGCCTCCGTGTCAATTGTCATCCGTGTACATCATTCATCGTCATAAGTCAGTAAGTTAATTGTTTTATGTGTCATAATTTTCGTAGTAAGCGCCTTCGCTTGAATAGTAAATTGTTCAGCCATTGTACGCCGTTATTCTTATTATTTGTTTATTGAATTCTTGTGCTTAAAGTTCTCGAGCCCTCGCACGATATCTGTGATTGGACCCAGACCATCACTTCATTTCTGTAGTCGCTTTTCCGCCATCTGTTTTCATCTGCCATTACGTGCCTAGATTTATACTCTAACTCGTGTTTCTAGTGCGGTACATAGCCATAGTAAGGTAACTAGCCATCCTACGGTCTAGCTGCCTCGTTAGAAGCATAAGTAAAATTTAAACTCAAATAAATGTTATGTTTACATTATTAAAATTAAAAGAAAATACAAAAATTAATTTTGACGATTAATGATTATTATATTTAAATATATTTTATTTTTATACATTGACTTTTAGTATGATTTATTATTAATCTAGCATGTGAATAATATTTTATAAATTCGTATTCAATGATTGTATATTTTGAATGAAAGTAATAATTTAAAGTAGTGAAAATGAATTTTAGGATTTTATACATTTTATTCAACTATATATATGAAAATATCTTTTGTGTATTTTTCTATTCTATCCTTGAATATTTTAACATATTAGTTGATAAGATATGGTATTATATAAGTTTATTTTTGACTTTATCTTAAAATAACATATTTTTACTTAACTAAATAACTTTTATAAAAAAAAAAAAAGAAACGATTAAATTTACACTATTTGCGATTATTATCATAAATAATATAAAGTACAAATAAAAATTGTTTTAGATCATATTAAACTAAATTTTATTACATTAAAACACAATAATTATTGTTCACTGTATTAAGTTAGTAATTTTTCAAATCACTAAAAAATTCTGAATTAAGGCTATCATTTTCATTTATATTTTTTTCCTAAATAACATAAGAAATCCTTTTTTTTATAAAAATACTAATCTCTTATTATGCAAATATGAGTACTGATAATTTTTTTTTAAATATCTAATAATTGATTAGACGAAACCTGTTCGTTTTCTGTATATAATTAAATAATTATTCAAATTGATTACTTATTTACTTAAAATTATAGAGAGATAAAAGTTGAAAATAATATCCAAAAAAGTCAACATGAAAATTAGTTCTATATATACTATGTCAAATATTTTCAGAAAATAGCTGACATAGAACTGTTGAATTTCCATGTCGAGAAATGATATGAAATTATATGAAAAATAATAAAAAATTTTTCATGAATAATGTGAAGAAAAAGTAATAGTAAATCATATTTTTATTTGTATTTAATATTTTCATTGATATGGTATTATATACGTTCAGATGTGATTATTGAGATAAAGCAAGCAACGATAATCAGGAATTTTTTTATTATTGTCAATATCGGAATCACACAATGATTAGTTTTTACTGTGGTAAAAAATGCACTCGAGCTTACATTCCTAAATACTTATGTGTAGATTTTACTAGAAAATATATGTTTGAGGTACTAACATTTACAAGACCAACTTTGTAGAGAATAAACATGTCCCTTTTAAATATTTTATTTTTATAAAATTGTCTGAATAGTTTAACACAATTTTATTTCATTTTAAAGAAACAATAATAGTGTTTTTTTATAGCTATTATTAATAGATATCTTGAGTTTGAATTTCTATGACGTCTATGTTGTTTCGCGCAGTTATGTCAACAAGTGTATTTTTCTGAAGGCTAAATTTATTAAAAAAATAAATTATATTATTAAAAACATCATTTATAAATTTAAATATCGATCTAATAACTAAATTTTACATGAAATAATTGTATTCTATCGAGTAAATGTTGATCATAATAATTATTATTATTATAAAAGTAATTATTACTTTGTTTAGTAACTCTCTAGACTTTTAACCCTTACTAATGTTAATAATCAGTTAAAATAATATATATATTAAATTATAAACAAAAAATTTGGTCTCTTATACAATTTGCTGATATTTATAAATATATTTTTATGTTACTATATTAAAGTACAAAGTTTTTATAATTTATTAATTGGGTTATTTAGTTTTAGTATATAAGAACGAAAAAAGCTTGTTATCGAAAAATAGGGTGTCCTCTTCCCCCAGAAGTTCTTAATATTTTAAGAGAAATTGAGTGGCTAACGTTAAAAGAATCATTGCATACATATTGTATGTTTTGTATGAAAAAATAATATTTGTTATCAATATCTTTTCTTTAAACAATAAAAAAATTTAAATCGACTGAAATTAATTAATAAAATATATTAAGTGGGTAACATAAAGGTTATATTGTAGATATTTTTGAGAAACAGAAGCTCAAATCGAATACAATAAATTTTATGTAAAGGGTCCAAACAAACTTTCCTCCTTCTTAATTATACTTCTATATTAGGTCACATATATTTTCATAAATAAAGGGACTTTGTTGTAGAATTTGTCAGCCTAAGACTCCTCTAAACTTCTCTAAAATATCCCTTAAATAAAAAAGTTTATAAATTTTAAGTATTATAAAAAAAATAATACTTGTTTAAAAGTTTTCCTTTTTTCAAATTTACTGTGAAAATATATCATTAGTCATTCTCACAGCAGTGTAAAATACCATGATATAACTAGTAAGGTTTATACACGAACCAGTACAAAGAGTATTGAATTGATTTTTATTTTGAATATAGGTATTACAAAATTATATTAGGCTTGTATAGGACCAATGAATCTAATATAACTTTTTTACGGTATATTATGCATCCGACTCTCTGATATTTTTAAAACCTATTTCTAGATTATTTTTTTAATTTTTATATTAGTAAGAAAATCTGAGAGAATTGCGAGCACAGAACTTTAAATATAAACTGTATTAAACTATTTTTTGTTTTTTATGAAAATAAAAACATTAAGTATCATATAAAATTTATTATATAAATGTTGTTTATTGAAAAACTAATATACATGAATTTATTACTTCATAATTTATTAAAGAAAAGCCTAGGGTGTGGTAGTATTATTTGAAATTTGGAAAATAAGACCCATTCATTATAATATCACATATAACATTTTAAATTGATATAAAAAGCAAGTGCTATTGTAAAGGTAAATTTTTTATATAAACGATTATGGAATAATTCAATAGATAGGATTATTATAAGTCTACAAATTAAAATTGATAATAATATATAAAATTTTAAAATTTAGTTAGAAATAATATAACTAATAAAATGTATAAATACGTATTAACACCAATGAAATATAATTAATAATGATAAATACACAGTAGTGTCGTTAAGTATTATCACTACAGAAAACAGTGAGATCGCGGGACAGTGGAGTCATGGCATAGTTGAGTCCAGTATAGATTTAATCTGACAGTGATTAAAATCACTATCATAAAAAACGCTTCGATGTAAATCTGTAGAGAAAGTTTAATTTTAAGAAATTGGTGGATAATTACAAAAGCAATATCAACTCCTATTTCCTTAATTATATCCTGATTAGTGATTCTTTGATTTAAAAGTATAATAATTATAGTAACTAAATAGTGTATGAAATTGATATTCAATAATTTAATGTTGTAAATCAACTATTTCTTTAATTAAATTCAGATGAGTAATTCTTAGATTCAAAAATATAATGTAAAATTACATATTTTATATGAATGTGTTAAAACTTTCATGGATTGTCTTGTTGCTTGAAGTGCTTGAGGATACATCCATGTTTACAATTGAGTTCTAACGTTTCAGACTCATTGCAGAGTCCATCTTCAGAGTTATGGTTGCTAGTCGGTGGCTGCAACTATACTGGCCAGTAAAGTACTCAACTGTAAACATAGATATATCCTCAAGTACATATTTTATAATTTTTATATTGAATTGTTTTCAAATTATTATTGATTTTCATTTTTAATATGTTAAAAGTAATAATTTTTAACCTACTTTATTTTGCCCTTTAAAGTGAAAGTTAATAATAAAAAAAAAAAAAAAATGAATTTATTAGTATAACTTTTAGCTCAACTTGCAAGTTAGAAATTGACATTATTAAATAGAAAAAATTAAATTGTTAAGATTAATATACAGTCAGGAAATTTTATAATTACTATTTACAGTAAATTTATCAGAAAAGTTCGATTTTTTAGCTTCGATGCGAAGCTGAGAAGGTATTGGTTTTACTATGATGTGTTTATTTTTTTTTTTTTTTTTTTGTCTGTTACCACTTTTTCTCAGCTCTCACCGAACCAATTTTTTTCAATGATACGTCAAAAGATCACAAATCATATCTAGTCGAAGAAATTACCCTTAAAAATTAAAAAAAATTCCCTCGTTCCCCGTAAATGGGGGAAACCTCCAAAAAAATTACAAATTTAAAAATTAAAAATTTTTTAAATTTTTTTTACTTAAAAGTGCCATAATTTTTTCAAAAATGAACATATCAATATAATTCTTTTTTATATAGATGCATAATATAATTACCTTTCATTTGGTATATTTTTTTCATAAATTTAACCCTTAACCTGCCTACAAAGGGGGAATTTAAAATGACAACTTTTTCACAAAAAATTAATTTTTTTAACTTAAATTTTGAAAATGTTCCGGAAGGTCTGACACTTTTATATATATCTTAAATTAAAGCTAATGTAATATGCTTTATCATGAAAAAAAAAAATTTCGGACTTTATCTTATCTTCATGGTGAAAATGGCTACCGAATGCTATTTTTGTGTGAAAATTTTCGATTTTGTATTTTCCATTTTTAACTTTATTATGCTATAACTTTTTGAAAAATGTATGAATCATTACAATTTTTTTATGAGAAGTAGTATTTATATAGATCTTTCATTCGACATACTGTTTTTTTAAATCGGACCATTTCCCTAAATACAGGGGGGATTCAAAACATAAAAATGCATATAGAAAGTAGAACTTTTTCAACGTAACTTTTGAAAGTGTTCCGGAAGGTCTGACACTTTTATATATATCTTAA